CTTGCAGAGTGGTGAACGCGTGGAATGCGTTAGATGACGAAGTAGTGGCTGCCCCTTCTGTGACTATCTTTAAGAAGAAACTAGATGCTTTCATGGACAGGCAAAAAGGTGGGGGGCAATGTTGACGTAGGTACTAGACAGTAAGCAACTAGGATAGTAAAAAAAAAAAAAAAATACAAAAATATTTAGTTTTAAGAGGGTTAGGCCTACCCTAAAATTAAGGAACGCTCGACCTCGACACGTGATACCGAAATGGGCGAAATCGCCTCTTGATATCACTAACTCTCCTGACTCCTGACTCCTGACTCTCATTTGGAGCACAAAACACAATAATCTACTTCTTTGGTGAGGTTATCATGCACGCGGCGTATAAATGAAGTACTTTTTGTTATGTATAAAATAATGATTTCTTAAAAGGTGAGGTGTAGGAAAAGTCGACTGGAACTTCGTAAGTTGAACATTTGCAAATCCCGAAGCCAAGCATGCCTCTAAAGTTACCGATTGAGTTCGCAACTAAGCAAATTTTCATCGAGAACTACTTTCGATACTTTCTAGCTGAAAATTTTCCTCGGCGGGAAAGGAACACAACACCGAATATGGCATCTCTGCACCATTCGCAAGATTTCCTATAAAAAATTTCGAAATTCATTTGATATCCTTCTGAAGACCCGGATGCTTCTGAAGTTCATGCGGGGCCTCTTCTCGTCTCGCCTCTTCTCTTCCCGTCTTCTCACTCGTCGACATGTTTTGTGGCTTCGTAGAGACAGGAATCTTCTTCAGCAAGGTGCAAAAAAAAAAGATATTCGGAGGAAGGTGTCTGAGTCTGATTCTGAGATTAATTATACCATGACGGGTTCCCTAAACTGCATGTCAAAAACGGAATTATTTCATGCAGATGAAACGTGACCAATATGAGAAAATTGCATGGAATCCGAGGGCCGATGCTTTTGACGCGATTAAATGGATAGGTTGCTAGAGAGCAGCTGCTCCTAGAACAAACCCTTTCTCTTTATGGTCTCAAGACGCTGAATATTAACTTCGTTTTGTTTTATTTATTTGGTTTTCCCTCTTTTCGGCAAATAGAGGAAAAATCAGCGTGAGAAGTCTCTGACTTTGCGCATTCACACTTCAGCAACTCATTCAACAGTTGGCAACTCAGTTCAGTAGGCTGTTTTAGTAACTTCCAACCCATTTTGGAATACATATGAAGTAAAATTTGAATGAATGTGATGGCGGCGATAGACGTCAGTCGTCATTATTTGGGGATCCCAGCGAATATGCAGACGTACAAACCACCAATAGCGATGAGGAAAAGGCATGGAACGCATGTGAAGAGTGGCAACCGATTCCGCCCCCTTCGACTGTCGACAGAAACACAGTGTGCATGCATCAGTGAGAATACAATATAAATTATCCTAGTGACACATACGTGTCGACTTTCTTTGACCAACATCTCATCAGGTCATCGATACCTTAATATCATACCTCATTTGCTTATGGGTGGATTGGGTCTATATTTTTCGGGAGGCTTTGAAAACTAGGGGGAAATGAATAATGAATAAACGAATGAGAAATGAATTGAAATTGACTTGTGCAATTCAGGCACAGGATCGAACTCGAGCGGCATGCGACAGACATATTGCTTGCCAGATAAGTACACACCAGTTGCGGAAGCGTTCGGTGCAGTTCCATGTGCACCAGCCTCCTTGGTCCTCGGTGTTCGGTCCGAGCGGTATCAGAGGCACATCACCTTCGAGAATTGATTTCAAGTGATATAAGGAATGTAAACATGTTAAGGGATTTCGGATTATCAGTACTTACTATCTTCTCCAGAAGATCTTGTTGAACCGGTGTCTTCTTCTCCATTTCCATCCACTTCGTGCTTCGGTGGTGGATGGCTCTCCCGAGCCTGAATGGGTGGATTCCCCTGAATTTTCTCGAAGAATTTCTCAATGCCCTCTGTCGTCATCTTAAACAGCCGTTCGTTGATGGAATCCGACTTCGCTTCATTTTCGTTTCCCCCGTCACTGTCTATGGACGACCCGTCGTCTTCCTTATCTTCGTGGTCGTCCTTCTTTGCCAAGAAGGAAGAACTGTTGACGGCGAAAGATTCCTTGTATCTGAGTCCGGCGTCTCTCACGGTTCCTAGGACTGGGAGGCGTTGGCTGTCCGCGAATGTACAAAACAAATAGGATATTTTGTGGACTCCTTCTGCCTCTTCCCCCAAAACACTGACCATGTACTGCATCGCTACCCTTTGCTCCGCTGTCAATCTCCCCTGTTCGTGAGAAAAGACTAAGGCATTATTTATTTTAAATTTCCCCAATTTTTTTAAACGAGACCGTGGAGAAGAAGTGAAATTGTGGGGAACACCAGAATAGCGTCTCTGCGGTTTTGGAAGGTCATACTGCAGTTTTGTATATTTTGCATTGAGAACATGGTCGTAATTAGAAGTAAATTCGTCTCACTGCTCTTTCACGCTCTTTTCCAGTCCAGATAATACGGAAGAAAGGAAGATCTCGTCCTTGCTGAATTCAGAGAGGATATTCCCAATTTCAACCTTGTGTTTCATTCCACATAACGTGGATCCTGAGTTGGTAAATCATTTCATCCTGCAAAGAAGGCATTCTTTACAGGATGAACAGATTTACTGAAAGCGCACCTCATGATGTGCGTTTTCAAAGAGCTAGTTGACCTTGCCCATGTCAATAGTTGTTCCATGGTTCAAACAGAATGCAGTTATTAGTGGGGTGGAGGGAAAAAGGAACCTGAGAACTAGTGAGGACGTAGACGATGGCGTGGATGCCTTGAGGATGGTTCAAGAGGATATGAGCTCGGATGTTTCCCATCAACTTGCGGTCCTCATTAAGTGTCCCCCGTTGGAATCCCGGAGTATCAATGAAGGTTACTGGACGCGGAAACCTTTGCTTGTCCCTTGTGAAGAAGGTGTACGTGGTGATCCGCGTCGTGGGTCCGTCCTTCTTCACCTGGAAGCGATAGGGATCCAGGAAATCCACGCCCAGTCCGTAATTCCCCATCACTTCCAGCAGCATCGATTTCCCTGCAAGGAAGCAGAGTTGAAGGATGTTCCAAACATAGCAGTGACTTCATTCCGAAGAGTAGTTACGTATGACATGAGAGGTGAACCTGATCCGGTTAAGCCGAGGAAAAGGACGTTCAGACATTCTTCGCCTTGCTCTTCTGCCCCCAATCGGTGTCTATGATCGAATTGAAGAGGGTAGGTCGGTAGGTCCTTTCCTTTAATCTCAGTGCCTCTGACTTTCGCCTCCTCGTACAATCTTTTTTTTTCCATCATTGTATTTCTGGAAGCATAATAATTGATATATATTTAGTTGTACAGTATTCCTCACGGAAGTGAGACGTCCCGGAAGCATAACGCCCCTCATTCTAAGACCATCTCCTATGGTAAGAATGACTTGAGAAACATGAACTCCTCGCATAACTCCATAAGAAATTGATAAGTTAGGGCCAAAGGAAACTTTAATATGCCAAATCAGAATACCACCTTCTTGCTTGCATTTAGACAGCCATTTATGAAACATTTTTTTTTAAGGAATTGCAGGCAAAGCTTTAGGAATGTTATTGGCGACCTTGTTACAGCCGTCCAATAGAGTAATGGATTTGTGACGAATTTTTGTCAGGAAATGAAAAAAACAAGAGACTAACATTAGGCTGCTGAACGTCACGTGTACGTAACCCCTTACGGAATTCCAAATACAGGCGTATGTATAGGATTGTACAGTACTGAATTTAGCCATGTTTGGAAACAGTTCAGTCCGCATCATGTTTTGGTCATTCTTAATAAATATGGAACTATATATGATTCATATTCAGACCTCCACATATGATGCTAGGTTTGCAATGTATATGACGCTAACATAAACTATACGGAAAAAATACTGTATTTAGAATATATGTGGAAACTATTCAGTCCATGTAATATCCATGGATGCACACGCATGCACGTTGAGGCCTTCCATATGGCCTGACATCTAGCAGTTTGCTCAAGTAAATATAAATTTCTCACCATAATAGGGAGGTCGCGCTTATCCCGCCGCTATATGTCTCCCGATTCCCCAAATGCTAATGAACGGTTCTGCAGAAACATTCATCCTCAACTGGTTAATTTCCCACGCACAAACCGAAGGAATGAAGTCGTTTTAAACGATGCATATATTGAAAGACGTAACCTAGCTTAAGGAGACTCCGGGTAATTCTTGTTCAATGCATAGAGGGAGTGAGCGAAGTGAATCACATATAAACACCTGTCAAAGTTTCGATGTTGAGTGACTCTGTATCTGAGCCTCTGTCTCAATCTGCCATATATAATGCATGCGGGGCCATATACTGTATATTGCAAATTAAGAACCATATGAGGGACCTGTACATGATAATACATGGGTACATATATCCAATATATTAAATATAGCCAGAACATACCAAATTGTTATATGTGCCATATACAATGCAACTAAGCATCATATATGGGGCTTATATATGAACCATGTATAGCTCCATATTCGTTAAGAATGGCCAAAACATTATATGAACTGGACGGCATCCAAATACATTCTCCCATATATAATTTTTATTTGTGCCATGTACATTCCAAGCAAAGTACCCTTATATGGCCATATTTGATATCGCGCATGAAATCTGAATATGGAGTTCCCGTAAGGGACTTGGCTTTGGCCATCACTACAGCATTGAGTGTGGTGTCTTGGGCATTGAATTGCCTTGAACATTTCAGCATACACTACGTATCATATTATATGACAGAGATGGATAATTATTGTAGGTTTTTGTGTTTAATATTTCCCTTCTATTTATAAGAAAGTGAAAAATGCAATGTATTATTTATGTATGCAGCAACTAATACAAATAAGTCAATTTGATGAAGACTGGAAAGTTCTCCAGAAGCTGATTGCTTCCTTACACCTGCCCCGCATAATTATACGCTGCAAGTTGGAATGAATTTGCCAGCATCAATAGTACGTACCGCCAGTCATCGTAGTCCGAGCTGGAGGCCTGAGTAAAGTCATACCTTGCAACGGCAAAAGGAAGAAAATGAAGGCTTCTATCCAAAGTAAAAATTGCTTCAACTTCTTTTTTACTCTAAGCACGATACCCACCGTTTCCTCAAAGAGATTTGGCCATCCACTTCAAGAAGAAAATGGCAAGATAAATGAAACGGGAGAATCGGCGGAAGCAAATGATGTGAGGCATGAAATGAGGCAATTTGAGCTGGAGTGACATTTATTTTCCTGCAATAATAGTGGATCTCAATGTTGTCTCCCCTATTTCATTTACAGTCTGGCATCCTGGCCACACATGCCGATTGGCATCCACTATCACACTGATGATGGATACATCTCCCCTTGTTTCTTGTAACTAATACTTCGTGATAGTCCACCTTCGTGAACCGCTCATGAATACATTAATGCTCACGAATTACGAATTTATCATGAGTTTCGTTGTGATACTATGAGGGGAGTATGACGGCTGACCTGAAGGAAAAGGGTGAATCTTCATGGCTGGGGAAACGTGGAAAGGGGAAGGCACTCCCCCTCCCTGCCGATTGACTCCTGTCACCTCTCTGGCTCTCCAGTTCTTATCTTTCAACTTCATGTTGGGCTCCATAGCAACCGCCCTTCTGATAAAACGTATCACTTTCCGTATTTGTCTTTGCAATGGCATGAATAACAGACAGTGAACCTGGTCCTCAAAGTCGTGATTAGATTCTGAAGAGGGGGCAGGCGTCCTTGGGTTGATGAACTGAAGCTGAACTTAAGCGTACCTGGGAAATTGGGGTATTGACGGAAGTTGAAAACTATGACTTCGATTAAATTTGATATGCAGGTTTCCTTTTGGTGAGTTATTGAGTACCTGAGAATATTTATAAATTTACTGTCGTGATGGCTGAGAGGTTTACCATTGATATTTTGCACTAACTTCAACCTTTTTAGTACCAGATCTTCGAGTATGGTATTTTAAAACGAAATTCGTGTCGATTTCATCGGCTCTAACACTAAAAGGGTTAAAACAAGTCATGCCCCTTTAAATCAAAGGAATAGGCCATTTTCATTGACTGTCGCTTTCTGATTTGCATAGCAAAATTTTCCATAGTCTAATTGAAACAGCACATTAGTTCTGTTGAATTACATCCCTATTGAAAATCAATCTATCTGATTAATAAATGTATTATATCCATGAATGACGATGCAAGTATGATGAACGCCCGATGCCTTTTCTGTCTGTCCAGGAGCAAAAACTAGAGTGCCATGAACTGTAATTTTTCCTCGTCTGTGAAGTGAACGTACTGGGACTTTCTCCTTTCAACAGGAGACTTCGCTGTCTGCTACTGACATCCCTGTTGGCCAGCCGAACCATTCTAGACTGCTAGTCTGCATTAGTAAGGTTCCATTAAGGAGCAACAGCATTAAGTCACTCGCCGTATTGCAGACCAGTCAGAAGCCTGAATGCACACGGGGTGTTGAAATTGTGAAGTTCGACTCCAATCACCGTATGTGTTCAGAGAAAAGGTGTTTCTTTAAAGAGTAATAATGGTTGTACGTATTCAGAATCTGCTCCCAAGATCCTGCTCGTGCCCATTGTGTGATCATTAGACAGTTAGTCCCTTGAAAGCGAAATTTTGTCTCTTTTAATGATGGGTTCATGACGAACTCTTTGATTGGATTAATCGAATTTCCATGTTTCCCCTCTTCATAGAAAAGGAAAAAATTGCATTGAAAATGTTAACTTTAATTTCATTCTTGCTCTTCACTTTTGAAGAGGCAACGTGTAGCTGACCTTGGCTGAAAAATGGGTTCGGTAAACAAGTTCCAGCGTTGTCAAACGTTTTACCGAAAAAAGTTCTGAGAGTCATTGAACAGGCCAATCTTATTGGAAATTCCCTTCGCCTCACAGTAATTGTGATAACTGAATCTGATGAAGCAAGATCGATTTTTTTAAGTTCATCCTTTCCTGCTCTAGAGGAAAGTTCTGCATAAATATCATATTTCAAGCATTCGCAACAAGTCTTGCGTCGGTGCAAAGGTCTCTTCTGGAATGCAACTTCATTGAAAGCAGAATGCTTGGACCTACATGGAGGTGGAGGAGGAGGAGTTCAATATTTCCAATTATTGATATGTTCGGAAAGCCTCTAGCTTTCTCAAGGATGTTCATCTTTGGATGAAGAACCCCAACTCGCATTGGAATCGAGTCACACTCGTAAGCATTCTCGTTTTGTTGATGCAAAGGTCAGAGGAGTTGGAGAAAATAAAACCGAAAGAGGTTGAATGGAATTGTATAGAGACTGTAAGAGAACCCAATGCAGAATTGACAATCGTATCGAACTTAGAGCAAGCAACGTAAGACCCATGTTAGAATGTCACCACAGTCCCCAAGGGGAGTGGCGGCGAAGTGATTTGAAGAACGTAAGTAAATGGCAGCGCACATTCAAGGTCTCCTTGGTCGGCGATTTGCACAAACGCTCACCCTTTCACTCCAAGATGACGGCGTCCATAAATTCAGAAAGCAGCTGCTTTGTAAATCTGCAATACTTTAAGAATACTCTAGATCAGAGGTGTCCAACTGCCGGCCGGCGGTCCGGACCCGGCCGGCCAATTCATTTTCTCTGACCCGCGAATTCCTCTTTAACAATTGCTTTCGGAAAATTGCTGGAAATTTCACTTGTCTGCTTTAAAAATGTGGTGTGTGTGATTTGAGATTCGTCAGTGAGGCCCCCAAACACACCTGAACTAAATCATTTGAACCCCGTCAAATTGAGTTGGACATCCCTGCTCTAGATGGAGTCGATTTCTTGTAGCATCCCACAAGAACCAAATCCTGAAGTGCTCAGATTACCAAGTATGAGCAGTTGGGGCCTAGTGGTTAAGGCGTCTGACTTGAAATCAGATTCCCTCTTGGAGCGTAGGTTCAAAGCTTACCAACTGCGTGAGTAATTTTTCAATTTTTAGTCCTCCTCAATACGAGGAACGGCATGTTTTTTATCATATCTGCTCGCGATGTGAGAGGAGGCGGAGTTTTTATCCTTAGAACCTGTGAAGAATGCACAAAGCCCTAGGTGAAAGGGACTTTCATGTCGTCCAAGGTCTTATAGGATTGACCTGATGCACCGAATGGTTTGAAAGCATGGACCTTTTCATTCCTCCCTACATCCACGAGATGTTACCTATACCGTCCTCTCAAGAGGTCACATTGTTGGACGCTTTGTGTAGGCATTTCCTCTTTTTTGAGATTGAGAACGGGTTCATTTCCTCTTTTGCAGGGAACGCCCAGGGGGTTTCGAGCTCTCCTAGCCCTGGCGACCCTCCTTATTGTCATTCAGCTGCCATGATACCCCTTGCTAAAATCATTATTTCACCATTTCTTCGGCTCTTTTATGAGACCGAATATTCGTAATCCAACTGGTCTTTCTTCCTGAATCCATTACCAACCTTTGGAAACAATTTCACAGAACTCGAGTGAAAAGAAATCCCCGTGTCGTATGAGGCGGAGTACATATGATCCCCTACCAACTTTCGAGGCTGTCTCAGATGCAAGGTGCTCGGAATGCACCCAGACTAAGCATGGACATTATCTCGTGTATCTTCGTAATACAGTTCACGCTTCCGAATTTGTACACGTACTATTTTCATGACGTTTGGGGAATTACGATCGCAACTGCGGAATCCGATGGACTTATTTTTGTGTCTTCGAGAATTAGTGCTGCTCAAGCATTTCCCTACAAAAATATGTGATTTCGGCAGAAATTCAATTTATTTTCCAACACAGCTGGAAGTATATGGAGTGACCATTGATTGTCTGCAATGCGATTATCGGAAAATTTCTTCGAAAACGCACTAAAAAACATCTTGAGCTTTGCAGTATCAATGCTGAATCGCCATTCTGAGCTGAACTGCCCCGAGGCGGGCACCCCAAGTTCAAGGCGGGATTCACGCGTGCACAAGACGCGTCGGAGGACCGATGCTTTCAACGGGTTGAAGGAAAGAAACTTGCAGATGTTGAAAGAAAATTCTAATTGCTTCTTGGAACTCTGGCATGAAAGATAATCATTTCATTTCCTCTATTTATTCAATATGTATCAGTCGGGTGGGTTGTGATCAATGCGAATCAATTGGAAATTCAATTTGACACAAAATAAAAGAGATATAATGGCCGTGATCATTGGCCGTCAAATTTGATAAATTGCAGGAGCATGTAGACCAGGAGGCCCCAAAGACAGACAATGCTGATGATCACCAAACCCAAATTCACCGAACGCGTCACACTGTTCAATGTAAACAAAATTCACATATGTATCGACAAGTATAAAATGAGAGTAAGGTTAATCCTCATCACATGTCGATAATTTATTGCATCTTGAGATGGGCTTGAAGTCGAACACTTCTGCCCACAATTTCAATATGATAGAATCTCATGTATCAAAACCTGTACGAGCAAAACGTCATCATGATAAGGCGTGTCAGGAGCATCTCCGCTTACCAGGGTTAATACGTATAAATGATAAACTTGAGAAGGAAAATGAAAATCAGCACACCCTAAGGGTGCCCAAATCGGGACATATCCTAATGTAAAACATTATTTGTTAGTTTTTTTTTTTACCTTAAGGATGGCAATTTCATATTCAACTCGAGAAAAAGGGAAAAATTTATCGCAAATATTTGATTTGGAAAGCGATATCACCTTGGCTTTATTTGACATCCATTCGGATTACATTAATGTGCGAAAGTTGCTTGGGTCGAAGCCATTTTTAGACTTAACGCAATTCCAAAATGGCACATTGAAATGTGCCATTTTGGCCACACGAGTTACTGTGAACGGCCTATCGTTTGGCTCCGACTATTTATTTTAGAACCCAAGACTGACTGTCTCACGTGGGACTATGAATTTTCAGTACATTTTTCCAACTCTGTGTTTTTATGATCAGTTACCTGGGATGGCACTCAATTCATCAATAGCTACAACAGGACTACTTTTTAAGGGACATTCAAAACGGTTGTGAAAGAAAATGATTAATTATTACTGAGCGAGGTTACTACAATGTCGGCCAAAAACACTGGACAGTCTTCAACAATACATTACATTCTATTCGCAGCATGTATTCTAATTCAATTCACGGGCATTTGAAAGAGGAATGAATGAGCTTTAAAATCGTGTTTTTACTTTTCAAATATCTTCAACACTTTCAGAAATTCCGCGGCTCATGTACCGGAAAGAAAAACTGCGTGGCCGCGCACTAGGAGCCATACGGCATGCCACCTTCAGCCGCCGCCTTCCATCCTCACTGTCCACAAAAGCATTGCGGTTTTTCTTTACACTTCATTTGAGCTTCCGAATTTCTGAAACTATTGGAGATATTTGAAACAATTTTAAACCTTATCCATTCCTCGTGTAAATGCAGTAAACCGCATTGAAATATATGTAGTGAGTGAAGTATAGTGTAATATGGGAAAAAAATTTTCACACCTCCCCCCTTTAGATGATGAAGTAATTCCAAGGCATGGATTTGATTGTTTGATCGCCCTCGTACTCTAAAATATACGTACTAGATATTAGGAGCCAGGTGAGAACCCACCAGCCGAAGCTGCAGTTTGAATATATTTGAGCGCCTGAACCTTGGGACTCGCCTGAGTTACGACGGGATTCATTACTTCTCTGATAACTCTTCAGCAACGGGTCGCTCTCATCACTTGAACTCCCTCCGTAATCTGTACAGAGGATGTTGTGAAAATGCAATCCCGCCGATGGGACGATGAAACTTCAGAGTTTACCTCTTTCTTTGGATCGCTTTCCTGACTCCACGTCCACGTCCTCCTCCGTACTCCTTTTACGTTTTTGTGGTGTTTGGGGTTTCAAGGCCTGAATTGGCAGATTATCCTGAATGGGTTGATTAACCTGAACCGGCAGAGTAACCCGAATGGGTCGATTAACTTGAACCAACAGATTATCCTGAAGGGGCGAATTGCACTGAATGTCCTCTAAGAATTCTCGAACGCTCTCCGTCGTCATCTTCCACAGCATTTCGTTGATGGATCCCCCCTTCGCTTCTTCTCTGTTTTCCTTGTTCTCCTCAATGGATAGCCCTTTCTCGTCTACGAAGTACGCAGAGCTGTTAACAGCGAAAGCTTTCTTGTAACTGAGTTTCGCCTCTTTCACCGATTGTAGAATAGGCAGGCGTTTGCTGTCCGCAAACGTGCAAAACAAATACGGGATCCTTTCAATACCCTCTTCGTCTTCTCCCAAGGCGTTGGGCATGTTCCGCATCAGTGTCTTCTGCTCCGCTGTCAATCTCCCCTGCTCAAAGGAGCAAGAAGGATGCATTAGTACAATATACAATAATTTTCGTTTGTCACGAAGCTGCCTAAACATCCATGAAAGTCGAAGGTATGACATTAAAAAGTGAAACCTAATCTGGAGATAAATGCGATATTGTGGACGCTGATGCACATGAGACAAACATGGGGTATGATAGTGTCTTTCTCGCATCATATTGCGTCTGTTGTCAGAGCAACTCTTCCATGTGGTTTCCATTGGTTGGGCTCGGGGCGTAGCAAAACAAATTCCACCGAAAACCTCTCACCAAAGTAACATTTACTTATTTCTTCCTGAACTTAGGAAGATAATTCAGCTATTCAACCCATTAACTATTCAATATCATGGACTTCTTCTCAAGCCCCGTCATCTCATTTACGCTGGTTCAGACTGAAGTGCGTTTCAGGGTAGAGGAGAATAGAAGAAACCTGAGAGCCAGGGATGACGTATGCCACGGCATGGATGGGCATCTGGTTGGAATGGATGAAATTGCGGATGTCTCCCATCAGCTTTTGGTCACCCTCGCCTGGCGCATTTTGGAAGCCTGGGGTATCGATGATGGTAACGGGATGAGGCAATCGTTTTTTATACCTAGTGGAAAAAGTGTAGGACGTGATCTTCTCTGTATGTTCATCCTTCTTCACCTGGAATCGATAAGGATCCCAACAATCCACTCCTAATCCGTAATTCCCAATCACCTCCAACAACAGCGATTTCCCTGTAAGAGAAAGGAGCGTGAGGAAGTTTAGGGCATGCCTAACATATTTATCCGGGAAGCGATGATGTAAGTCATGATAGGTAACCTGATCCTGTCAATCCGAGTAGGATGACATTCAAACATTTTCCTCCTTTTTCGATTTCGCCCAAACTGAATCGATCAGTTTTGATGAGCTTGAACGGGAGAGGATAGGTCGGCAAATCCTTTCCAGGGACCTCAACGCTCCCTCTTTTCAAGGTCTCGTGCAGTATTTCTTTGTTTTCCTCCATCATCGGATCCTTGGAAAGTGTATAGTCGTGTGGTTGATCACGCTTTGTCCTTCTTATGCATACGTAACGCTCCTATCTAGCCTGTTGCTATATCGCACGACAAAGAGAAGTGGGGGAAGCATGAACTCGGTGCATATTCTCGCCGGAAATTGATGAATAACCAATGACATTTTTAGAATGCAAAAACAGAATCAGCATCTCGCACCGATTGGCGAGCCCAAGAATGGATCAGGAAATCATTGTTGGTTGTGGATGAGCTCGACCGTTTTTAAGCAGAATGCATTTTAATTATGTAATCGAATGCAGTTGCAATGTTTTCCTTTTTTTTGCAATCTTTTGCCTATAATATTTATGTTAAGAATTCATTATTTAAATACGTTTTTTCCAGTGAACCGTTCTCATTAAACTTTTGAACATAAATACGTTTATCTACTCTGATCGGAACATCTATCGTGGAATTCGGCAAAATCATCTGGTAACGCGAAATTGACGGAAGACGAAAAAAAAAAGGAACTCTTTTTGCAATGCGTCATAGGGGTATTTACAATCCAGAGCCACGAATGCCTCTTCCATCACAAATCTCTAAGATGAACCATCTGTTATTTACGGAAATGTATTTTCATTTTTCTTTCGATCCTTCGCTTCCTTTTTATGAAATAAATGAAAAGAGCTGACCTGACTGAAAAGAAAGGATCCTCAGGACAGGAGGAATCTTTGTTGAGGAATACACTCCGGCAATGGACTTGTCCTTGTCTACGCACGAGACTTCATTTTTTCCTTATCTTCTCGCTCGATAATGGAGTCTCACGACCGCGGCACTCCTGATAAATGCTTATCACTGCCTTCACATCCATGTAATGGAGAGCGGACTAGCAAACTTTCCTTAGAATCATTCGCCGTCGTTGAGATCAGGTTAAATTTCGGTTGAGGTCGTCAAGAGGCATTTTCGTCCAATGTGACTTCCCGCAACTCCCTCGAGCATTCAAAGAGAATAAAAAAGGCTTACCTCTGCTCAAATAACATTTTTTACATTTATTTTAGGAGGAAGTGAGGATGCGGCATAAGTAGTTCCAGTAGCCTGACTTCCCTATTTTTTCCATGGATTACTCTAAACTCCTGTTAGAGCTAGTCACTGATGAGCTAGGGAATATGTCATCACCTATGGTGATCCACACATTACTCTCCAAAGAAAGAAGACACTTGAGCTACCTCAGTTTCAGAGATGATACGGCCATGCATTATCGTCTTTCTCATTTAATATAGTAATCCATAATGTTTAGTAAACTTACTTGTTTTGCAAACTCGCCTACTTTTGCCATTTGCTGATATCAACTTAACTGCTCGTGTTGAGCCGCTGGGAGGGCTTTTTTTCTCTCAGTTTTCTCAAGAAGGGTCACTTGAAGCATAAACAGGTCAATGTACTTTCGTGCGTTGCTTTCGACTTGATTCGAAGAAAATTCCGATGTCTAATGTGTCATATCATCCACTGGACGCAGTCTTGATAGGTGTACGGAAAGAACATCGCGAACAAAACATCGCAGGGAAAAAACATCGCGGAAGAAACATCGCGGAAGAAACATCGCGGAAGAAACATCGCGGAAGAAACATCGCGGAAGAAACATCGCGGAAGAAACATCGCGGAAGAAACATCGCGAGGCGATTACAGTAAAAACATCGCACGGCTATAACATCGCGTGGGGCTCTCTAGGCTTGCAAGCCAGCTAGCAAAAGTGAAGCTTTACTTCAGTCGGTTCTTTGCTCTCGTTGGGAGCAGACGTGTTTCGTCTCGTTTTCTCAGGCATGTAAATTTCAAGCAAGTTAATTTTAATATAAGGTAATTAATTAAATTTAGTTTGGGCTACTGCACCTGTAAGCAATGTGTAAGCTTAGGCCTACTCGCGCCGGACCTTACCCGGGGAAGCAATAGCATGGTTATTGCTAGTTGAGAATTTAACCCAATACAGTCACTAGCACAATATTAATTAAATCTGTTTTTTTTTGTTTTAGATGTCACTCAGTGTCTATCAGTCAATAGGTGAAGCAAATCCTCACTGCCCACGGACCAGCCCGAGTAGGTCTAAGCTTAGACTTTGTTAACAGGGAAGAGTAACCCAAACTAAATTACCTTAAATTAAAATTCACTTGCGTGAAATTTAAATGACTGAAAAAATAAAACACGTCTGCTACCAACGAGAGCAACAAACCAACTGAAATAATGCTACACTTTTTGCTCGTTGGCTTTCAAGCCTAGAAACCCCCACGCGATGTTTTTACTGTGCGATGTTTCTTCCGCGATGCTTTTTCCTCGCCATGTTCTTTCTGGGAGCCGTCTTGATCAACCATCTCATAGAAAGGAATGCAAACCCACGACGCGATTTCGGACATGAGTGGTCCCCAAATTCCTCGGCCCTTCCGGGCTCCGTGAAAACCGTTTCATGCCTTCTAGTCAGAAATGTCTTGCCACGGAGAGCATCGCTTTCATCTCGACTGCACCCAGCCAACCAGTGACCAAAGTTCCTCGAGTCGTGAAGGCTTTGAAAAACGGCTTAGTGGACCCTATATGTCAGGTCGGGTTATAGAATTTCCATAAGAATCAGGTGAACAGAAACAAGTTTCTCTTCCATCTATATATGAAGTCAATCATGACGTTCGGCGAATTGTATTTGGCGAGATGAAAGGGAAACGATCGGAATGTTTCCAGACTAAGTTCAGAATATGTCTTATGAAAGTAGGTATGTTACGCCTAATTTTTTTTAATGATTGGGACACTGCTATTGAATTTACAAGGTTGAATGGCTTTGTTGAAATGGTGTCTTGGAATGGTCTCGTTCAAGCATTGTCATTGACAATGTACAATGACAATTGTGACATTGCTGCACAACTTCAAGTTCCTGCTGGAAGTGCAGCGGCGCCATTGTTGATGAGTCTGGTTCTGAGATGCATGTGTGCCTACTCCGAGCTCATCTTCCCACTCCCGAGCAGATAGTGCACCAGCTGATTGTGTCTAGCAGGTGAATGAGAACTTCTGCTACATCATATCCAAACATGTCCAAATGTCCTAGAAATATTTCTGTGTCGGATTCTGACTGAATCTTGCCATGATTGGTGCCCTGTATTGTATGTCTGTGGCAGGGTTCCATCAAAGGATCAATGTATGAAGCGTGGCAGCGATGGCGAAATTGATGCATCAAGCCCGAATACTGATTTTCCGTAAATGAGAAAATGAATGGAACTCGTTAATATGCAAAAGCTCAAAGAAGACAAGAAGAAAGCTGTTCTTGTCCCTCCATCGGCACTCTGCTTATTTATGTCGTTTGAGTTCTTCCTTTCCAGAAGAGTCATTGACTTTGTGCATACTCTAATATTTTCTACTGCCCTCTGCTCATGCAAGTGTTGCTCAGTTGGTTAAACCTTTAATAGGAATATTAATGCATATGTATTTCATAATTTCATAATTTCATGAATGTGAAAATGTTGACAATAATTGCTATTTTCGAGCATGTCTGAAGTTACGAAGGAGTATCCACACCATGATGCCCAAAACAATGAGGCAGAAGAAGGTAATGGATGCACGTATCACCAAACCCAGCCGCAGCAAACTGTTGACAGAAACATTGCACAACTGCATCAAATAGTATAGAGTAAAATTAGGATTATTCAACATCACGAGACGACATATTGTTCTATTGGAGTCAGACAAGCCCACAGTCATCAAAACAAAACAATGCTTTCTTTCGTGGATTAAGCAAACATACCTTAAACATTGAGGCGAGGGATTGAGGAGCGAAGGTGAGATGAAATGAAAAACTTTACAATGCATGTATGCCATTGCCCTTGTACTCCACAGAAAAACAGGGGATACAGAGCCATTTCATTACTCACCGATCGTTCCTGGAAGTTGGCGGGTTTCCATTGGTGCGAGCTATGACGTCGACTGCATGGTATTCCCTGCGTCTTTCTCTGTCCTTCACCAAATGGTCTCTCTCACTCGGTTCATGGTCTGGTTTTATAGAAGAAGTTTCAAAGAAAAACTCGTGCTTATTAAATTAATAGTGGATATAAAGTGCTTACCACTGTCATGGCTTTCTGACTCTTTGCCCTTTACCGTCTTTCTTTTATTTTTATCCAGAGGAGGACGTATTGGACGATTCGCCTGAATGTCATTAATGAAAATTTCCAAGCTCTCTGTCGTCATCTTGAAAAGCAGTTGGTTGATGGATTCTGATTTTCTTTCTCTTTTTGCTTCCTCGCCTTCCTCGACAGAAGACTCAATTTCGTCCTTCTCATCTATGACAAAGTAGGAAGAGCTATTCACAGGGAAGTGCTTCTTGAACTGGAGTCCAGCTACTTTCACGGAGTCCAAAACGGGGAGGCGTCTGCCGTCCGCAAATGAGCAAAACAAATATGTGTTTTCTGTGATTCCCTCAAGCTCATCTCCCAAGACTGTGGCCATCTTCTGCAGCATTACACTCTGCTCTGCCGCCAACCTCCCCTGCTCAGAGGAACAAGACAAACGCATTTTTTAATGAAAACATACTTTACTTGTGGGATAGGACCAACGAGAGATGTGGCAGAAACTCATATTGTGAGAGATTAGGTCGATTGAATGGAAACCAAAGCAAATTGCATTTAATGTAGTGATTCTCTTAGTATAGACACAGTGGTATTGAGTCAGCACTCTTTTAAGAATATCTTAGGCAATATCCTTGAAAAAAAGGTTGCATGTCATGGACATTCCCTTTAAATTTTTTAGAATGTAATGAATTCGTAGAACACGTTATTCATTGAACTCCTTACTGTCCAATCTTGAATATTCCTCGTGAGTTGCAAAATCAGTATTAAAAAAAAATTGCGGTTGGGCATTCAGACATGGGTTTCTCCTGCGATAATGGAATGCAATTTCCTCGCTTTTCTCGTATCATCATTCCGTGATTTTGGATTATGTTTCTTCTTAGCCTTCAGTACGAACTGGGAATATTGTACACGGGACCAATATGTCCAACTACCAGGTTAGTTTGGAAACAGATGGATGTACCCCTAGACGTATTTTCACCTTTTGGAACGATGTCCACCGGGCTAAAAGTCCACCCAGCTACATAAGCATGTACACAAATGACTAGGTGGGTTTCACTCGGTGGAACAAAAATCCTGGTTCGAAACCAACCTTTAATCCACCTTATCGTTCAGTCAGGTGGATACAGGTGGACGTTTTGTCAGGGTAGTTCCTCTTATGGCTTCGTGCTTTACTTTCCTTTATGAAAAGGGAATTAACTTAATCTCCTCCGGAATTCAGGGATAGAGTCCCGATATTTAAATTTGTGCGTAATTTAATTAATTTGTCTTTAAGTTCTTCATTCGGTAAATACGGTCTCTTAGAGAAGGCGCTCTTTCCTTGCCCCGAAAGACCTTCCTTGTCCTTTCAAGCCATTTGAGTACATTTTCTGAAACTGAAAAGTTTTGCGTTGCAGGATTTAGAGAAGAAGGTGCAACCTGAGAACCGGGGACGACGTAAACCACGGCATGGATGCCCAGAGGATGGTTAGAGTGGATGAAAGCGCGAATGTCTACTATCAATGTGCTGTCCTCTTTGAGGGTCCCCTTTAGGAAGCCCGGCGTATCAATGATAGTGACGGGTCGGGGGAATTTTTCTTTGTCCCTTGTGAAAAAGGTGTGGGATGTGATCCTCTTAGTGGGTCCTTCCTCCTTCACCAAGAATCGATGGGGATCCCGGTAATTCACTCCCAACCCGTAATTCCCCATCACCTCCATCAACTTCGATTTCCCTGTAATACGTAGAGATCAAGAAAGTTCTAAACACGCCTCACACTTTTTCCCGGGAAAAGAAAATGTAAATAATGATGGGTGACCTGATCCTGTCAATCCGAGTATAAGAATATTCAGACATTCTTTTCTCTGTCGAACTTCGCCCAATCGGTATCGGTCAGGTCCGACGGGGCGGAAAGGAAGAAGATAGGTCGGCAGAATCTCTCCCAGCACTTGTCGACCTTTTTTCTTCAACTTCTCATGCAAGCTTGTTCTTTTTTTCTCCTTCATCATTGGATATTCCGTGAAAAGGCACTTGATGACTTTGGATTACCTTTGCCTATCCCATGCAAGTCCCGCACACTACACCAATCTTCCCATTCTCACTATATCGTCGTTCCATTTGAGAAATCATGAACTTGAATAATATTCATATAGGAAATTGAATAATGCAATGAAATCTTCATAAATCAAGATGAAAAATGTTACCGATATTTTACTTACTGCAGTTAGCAAATAAGGGCTTATTCCATGATGAATGTGCGCAGGTGCATGTGTGAAATAATACGTAAGCGTTTGTCTTGAGTGCTTTGTGCAGTTAAGCGCCCATTACAAAGGTCACGATAATGATTATTGCAGGATGATGATGGCTAAGATGGCAAAATGCATTTTCCTATAAAACGGAAGGTAGAAGCCGGCTCTCTGGAATTCAGTGATTCACACTGTCATGATACCTCGCGAGTCATCGCTTTTGTGTTTGCAATTTGATTTACAAGAAATGAATAAAACCAAACGGCTATGGCTTGAGCCCATAATATCCCACACTCTTCAAATAAATTAATCAAATAACTGTGGATTGTTGAAACCGCATGGCCACATAAACGGTATGTTTAACAAGAATCTCATATGTTTAAATCAATCATTACGGAATGCTCCAAATATATTTTAAAATATGCATGTGTGACATGACATACGTAAACACGAGTATAGAATTTTTAGAATTTATCATGCGTTTGCTATAGGTTTTCTCCAGGAAAATGATTTAAAACCGTTTCAACGTAGCATGACATACTGTAATCTGCTCAAATGTAATTGGCAGAATTACACATAATTATCTGGTAATACTGTATTCAAGTAGGACGATAATAACTTCTGAGTCATATGTAAAAAACACGGAGAACATGGAAGTACTACTTACTAGTGCAAAATCATGAGCACTTCTTCGTTCACAGATTTTTAAGGCGAACCTTCTGGTTATTGTGGAAGTATTTAATTCTCAGGCTGATGCTTATCTGTAAGGTGTCGGGTATGGATAACGGGTAAGATATCGGACAGTTTAAATGACTCATTTATCCTATGCCGCTATGTGGCTAAAAAGTGCAGATTTGGAGGGATAATGCGAAAAGATCCTAGGTAATGTCCAATTTCATTCCTAATACGCTTACATCTCATGAAAATAAATCATAAGAGCTGACCTGAAAGAAGAGAAAGTATACTTAATGATGTCCCAGGAACGCACTCCATCACTCCAGCAATGGATTCTTGTCTATGAAGGCACTCCACCTCCTCTCTTATCGTTTTGTTTTCTTTCTCCACGACCATGGCACTCCAGATAAAAGCATGTGACTCCCTCCCCTCCCTTTGCACTGAACAGCGTCATTCGCCGTGATTAAGACAATTAAAGGTCCAATGTGCAGGTGAGGTCCTTAAAAGGGATTTTCGCCTAATTTGACGTTCCTTGTCCAGGTTCAGCGTTCTTATTCAATACAAACAAATTTGTTTGCCCCAAGGGCAAACAAACTCGTCATGAACATCGCCGCTCTAGGCTCCAAAAAATGAACTGAATAATACATTTTAAGCATCCCTTTTCGATTAGCATACCTACAAATGCGGTCACACTCATTGGGTCAGAAGTATTTTTCGTTGTGAGGTTAAGTTATTTCTGGTTGCGCGAAGTAATTTTCAGCCTAACGTTAGCAGTGTGAAGCAAGTGGAGATTCTAGGTTTCCCCGAAATGTCGCCTTGAAGTTATCCTTCATTCAGTGCCTTCCATAGCAAGACTAAGAATCAGCTGTTCCTAAGAGAAATTGTGCATGGTTACCCATCCCCCCCCCCCCCAAAGAAAAAGGGACGCCGAGGATGGCAGGATCCCAATCTAATGATTTTCTATGAATTGAAATAGTAAGAGGTTGGAGATGAATACTTTGTCAGCTCTACTGCAGCGAAAAAACTCATTGCAAATCGATTTGAAAAAAGAACCAGTTTCAGTTTTTCACAACTGCCCCATTCGAAGCAGCGGAAATTTCCTCAGAAACGTCCTAATAAAAATTTGTGTCTCAAGGAAATGACCTCAAAAGTCAATATTTCATAGAAGGCACATTTACTGGAACAGCGTGTTTACAGAAATATGTATTCGTTTCACTGGGACAAGAGAGTGTCATACTAGAAAATAATTGCCCTGGGGGAATGCATCCTATGAATATGATTTCCTTACATTTCCACAGTGATTATCTCAACAGGTACAGACCCAGAGAAATATTGAGCTCTGAGGGTATGAACCTTGAGAATTGGATAATTTTCAGAAAGTAACATCACAACAGCTAATTCTGTGTCAAGTTTCAACTTCTCTATCTCCGATTCTCTGGGGCAAAAAATTATATTGCAAAACGTGCTCCCCAATAAAATACGCCCAGAGGATAGTACCTGAAAATTAAACTTTATCGTAAAATGACGTTGAGTCAACGTTGATTCACCGTGAGTGTGCTACTTGGGGACTGGAATTGCTGCAATTTTGCTGCCAGGTGGTATGACGTGTCCCACGGCCTTCGACTTTCCATTGGGTCTGCTCACGCCTAAACGTGTCGTTTATCGCGCAAAAGTCAGGCGATGATTTAAGCTACCCACGTCGTAATTGGAATTAATCGCCAATGGCGAAGCGCTGACAACATTTGGCGTTGCGAGTCTCGATGAACAATGACGATCCATTCCCTGGCAAATTGGTTGTGCTTGGTTGCGACTTTCGTCAAGTGTTGCCATTCGTCCGCAAGATATGTCGCGGTCAAATAATCGGGACTACCATCAAAATGAGTCCTTTGTGGCCATCGTGCCGAACAATTTGTTTGACAGATAATATACCTGCTGCAGCAAACGAAATTCGTGTTTCTCGCTGGTTGGTCGATGTCAACGGCATACTTCCGCGAGCACGGGCGGTCAATCCCAGCATTGGGATCAACCCAATGATCAATTAGTACAATTAATAAAAAAAGTACAATCGCCGGGGAAACGCACGGAAAGCTCTCCGTGCGTTTCTCAGACGATTGTATCTTCGATGATTTTTGTTAACGAGGTATTTGGACTCCGGCATATGGTCTGCAATGTCGAAGTGAGGAGTAAGCGCACTCCCCCTCCTTTGTCCCAAGAAGAGCGGACGCATCATAGTATCGACACCGTGAAGAACGATCATGGTGATGATGATGTCGGCAGGAACTTTCTGGTTGAATTCCCGAACACCATCGATCCTCCGGGTCTTCCTCCCCACGCCCTAAACCTTAAAAGCTGTAGTGATGTTTTTGCGGAATCTCTCGATTGGGAACGGCCCTTGGAACGGCACGCGTATGATCATGAGCCACAAGAACGTTTATGTTTTAGAAGTAAAGTTGATCACAAGAGTGTTTCGTGGCAGTGTTCATTTGCTGTCAAGAGTTTCACTGCACACATCATCTGACGTCAGCATACCATTCCATCTTTTTCGACGTCGATTCCCCAACGAGTTCGTCTTCGGTGCCCCTTTAAAAAAGTCTTAGGGACAAAAATTAAATTAAGTCGCATTACTACTCCGGGAGCCAGTATTCGCAATGGACAATAATTGCCAAGGCGTGAATTTTAGAGATGTTAAAATATGATGCACACTGATATGCCCGATGCCAATACTTTCTGCCATGTCCTCACATGTAAATCATCTGTCTTAATCCAGCAGATTTCAAACTTTCTCTACATTTACATCGGTGGTCGCAGAAACAGGATGACCTTCCCTAAGGTCATCATCAATACTAGCCCTGCCAGCTTTGAAGCGTTTCATTCACTCTGAACTGTTGAGTAGGATAGTGCTTCTTGGCCACATGCTTTCTCAAGGGCAGCATAAACTTTCCTGGCTGATTTGCCTAGGGCCGATTCAATTTTCATGTACGACCATTGATCTTCTTTTGTAAATGCTCACATGGCACTAAAACTAGGTTCACAAAAGAGCTATTATTTTCAAGCCTTCAACTCTGAAGTTAGTGAAACTTTATGTTATAAACACAAACTGTATATTGTTTATTGTCCTTTGAGGATTTAAAAATAGTTAATGAAATACAATTTTACAGGGGTGTTCCTGGAACACCTCTAAGGGGATGTCCATCGCCCATTATGGGCACGAATGCAAAAACCACGACGCAACATAGGGTATGTGCCTCACTCCGTTGTCAAATTCCCTGCATTTCAGTTCTCTGTCAAATCAATCTCATGGCGTCCAATCAAAAGTGCCTCACCAAGAGGAGCACCAGTTTGGCTTCGGTTACCTTTACAACCGGTCAACCTGTGACGAAAATCCCTCTGGTCATGAAGACTTCGGAAAATGACTTAGTGGACTATGTATGACGCATCACGTCGTTATTCAACGTTACGAGATGTTATAATGTTCTATCGCAGTCACCTATAGGAAGTCCATACTATCATCGATACAATGCAATAGCATTCTCTAGTAGATTGAGGCTATATACCTTGGACAGAGAGGCGGAAAAGGCGGTTGAAAGTGATGTATATGGATTGACGAGAGAGTGATCAGACAGGGTGAAAAGTAATGAAAAACGGCTCAGACAATGCTAGCATTCGATTGCCCTAGTACTCTACAGCAAAACAGGATATGCGAAAGCCAACTCTTTACCCATCAATCGCACCAGGAGTTGACAGGTTTCCGTTTGCCTGAACTGGGAGCTCACCCGTTGGGTATCCCTCGCTTCTTACTCTGCCCTGCATCAAAGGCTCTCTCTCCCAACTCGCACTCCATCCACGCTCTGATATGATAGTGGAAATTTGTAATTAAGTCGAACTTATTGAAGGGATTGTGGAACGAGCGTGCTTACCTATATCTCTCCTGCTTCTTCCTGACTCTACGTCCTCCACATTCCTTCCTTCAACTTCAATTCCTGCTGGGGGGGGGTTTCTGTGTCAAAAATTGGGCGATTTGCCTGAATGTCCTTAATGAATTCTTCGGACAGGAAGGAGGATGAGGATGGATTACGAGATTTTTGGAAGTAAGTTTCCAGATAATTATAGGAATAGATAATGTCGAGTGTGGTAGGTTTTTCCAGTTCGATGGAAGCAAGAGAACGAGAGGTAATCAACTAAAGTTGCGCAAACCGCGGGTGCGTCTCAGGTCGAGACAGAAATTCTTTACTTGCAGAGTGGTGAACGCGTGGAATGCATTAGATGACGAAGTAGTGGCTGCCCCGCGCTGTGTCTACTTTTATGAACAAACTGGATGGTTTCAAGGACAGGCAAAAAGGTGGGGGCAATATTGAAGATAGGGATTAAGCAGTAAGCAACTAGGATACGCTAAAAAAAAATACAAAAATATTTAGCTTGAAGAGGATTAGGCCTACCCTAAAATTGAGGAACGCTCTACCTTGACACGTGACATCAAAATGGTTGCAATCGCTTCTTGTTGTCACTAACTACCTTGAACCTTGAAATGTAGAAAATGACAGGCGCTCCACCTGGAGTTTCGCTATTCATTCTAGGATGACATCCGTCTCTCATATTTTTCACATGCTTTCGTGATAACGAGTAAAGTCGGCATTGATCCTTTACTTACATTGAAAACTGTAATTTTCAGCGATTGAGCTTTAGTTCTTAAGGAGCATGAACATTTCCTTCACTCGAAAACGAAACATGCAGTTCAGGTACCTATATATAAGGTGCGAGTTAATTTATCCTTTTAATTCCTGGAACTCTCTCATATCAAACCTTTTCCTTATTAATACTCAATTACCTGAGTTAATATGAGCCACTGGCTTCACTTTACCATCTGCTGAGGTAATAATACAGCGGTAAAGAGAAGAGAAGTGTGCCATGGGAGAGAACAATAATGGCTTGACTTTTTTGATCAGGAAAGGATTAACGCTTTGGGTACATCCTGGGGGAAAATATTTCATGATGGCCTCTTTTTCCATTTCTTTTTCACAACAGTGGAACGAGCAGATGTAGATTTTGGAAACTTGGTTAAAATATAGCTTCAGGAATGTTCATTTCACGGAAAATCATGGGAGTGCGCACAACACCTATTCCAAACTTTAAGCTGGCATTGACGTCACAAAACCGGAAGTGAGTGGACGCTGCAGTGAACAATCTAAACCATGCTTGCCGTGCTAGCCACTTGAGATGGCGCGAGGGTCAAAAGGTCATGTTTGAAAGGAATTAGTAGCTTTCTCACATTGTCGCGTGTCGAAGGTGCGACCATTAGGAGTTTGTTTGCCTAAGAGGCAACCAAAAGGCAAAGAAACTCGTAAGTCACATGAAGGGGTGTCAAAAGATATTGCAAATGATGCAACATTCATTTCCCATACGTGATGTTGAACAAAACCTGCGTAAATCCAAGCGTTCTCTACCGAACCAGAATTCGGTCTTTTTTGGCAATATTCGTTTCGCAGTTTCTCAAAAAGCTCTTCAACTGGGAAGTCGAATTTCGCCGTGAAGCAGCCTCTCAAGGAACTCCACAAAATGAAAAAAATTATGGTATTGGAAGGGCTTGGGAATCTAGTTATGTCGACTTCGCAGAGTGACGCTCGAATAAAAAGACGTTTCTCCGACCTTTCCTAGTTCATCGAGACCCTCTTCCTGTAATCCTAAAGGTTCTGTCTGATGAATGTTGTTGCAGTCTCACTATTTCCACGCTCTTCCTGGAACTTCTGTACTTTCTTTTCTCCGTATTATGTCTTGTTTGAACTCAAGCAATGAAGACGTGAGATTTCCCATCAGAAGGACTTACCAGAAAAAAATGTGCCACCACGATAGCTTATTGATTAAATTACTGTGCGTTAAACTTCCTACTCCAAAGATAATACGGTATTTCAACGTGAACCAGACGCGGATATTGAATTCTCTGTGTGTATGGTTTCATATAAATGTGATTCAATGTTTCTTCTTTTATTATGTGTCTTCTACGCCTGCTGCTTCATGTTTGTATAGGCACGGAATATTGCATGTTAGAACATACCCAGCAAATGTATTTTAATGCTTAAAGTTCAGACACTTCCAGCAAAGTGAAAGCTTCCTGGGAATTTTGGATGCGTTTAAAGTAGGAATTATATCATTCAACCTTTAGATTAGCCACAGCAGTAAAATTGAAAAGTCTGCGACAAGATTGTTTGCATCATGTTTTACTCATTCCACGCAAAACAAATTAAACTACACCAATTCTCTTATGAATAATTTTATTGAGTGTTTTGTGCCATTTTAAAAAACGATGCAAAACCCTTGCAATCGAGATAATTAAATAATAATTGCAATTTATGCTTGAAGTTTTCCTTTTTCCTAGAGATGGAGTCCTAGAGATGCAGTAAAGGGTCATCGGTCCTGTCCATCCGCATTTCCTTCAATATTCTCATCCTTTGCTCTATATGTATGTATTACCTCCTGGAAATAGTTGCAGAAGAAGTTTTGAATCCAATTAAAATGTTCAACTATACTAGAAGTTCCATTATAAACCATAGCCGTGATATTAGGTGGCTGTCGTCTTTGAGAGCTGTCCCAGCCAATTTGGAGGCAAGGATACCATTCCCAGGCGAGCAAACTTGCATAAGGGAGGAGCATGACCAACACCCACCACCTGTTTAATGGAAAAGAGTGCATTCATGAGTCAATGACAATTGAACTGTCAAACTTTTTTACTCCAACTATTGCACAATTATGAAAATACCAGTTGGGTAAATTGTATACCCTATTCATGCTAATATGACACTGCCACATGATTCAGTCGAACTTGCCTGGAAGACTGGAGCATGCAAATAATAAGATGCCGCATGAATCCTGCAAGCTTATTCATGGCAGTAGCAGTAATTGTGAGGCCAGGGTTCAATTCCCCTGCATTCCATGCCTTTTTCTTGACTTCTCTTACCTTCCATGTCCCGTTGCTTGAATAAAACGGAGAGACATGGAAAGCTGAAACGTGGCATGGATGTGCCAACTGACACGATAAGTTCAGTTAAAAAAGAATGCAAAATTTTAGATCCATGCCCTAGGGGGATATTTTTGGGGGCCGACGTTTTCAAGTATTTTTTTGTCCTGGTGTATTGAGCTAGTGTGGAAAGGTGAAACTTGGTACATAATTACCTACTCGGATGATGCGTCCAGAAAAATTCAGACTTTGGAAAGAAATGCCCTGGGGGCATAAATTTCAAAGGGAGATGTTTTCACATAATTTTTTTGCATTAGTTAAACCGATGGACATGGAAAGTTGGAATTTTGCATGAATATGACTACCAAGATAAGGAGTTAAAGAAAAATGTTAAGTTTTGATACATCCCAGGGGAAAATTTCTCGAGGGGCGATGTTTAAAAAAAAAAGAAATTGTCGTGGCGAATTGGATAGAAATGGAAAGGCGAAACTTGGCACACATATAAGTGACGTGATATTGTTGAGTTCAGGGAGTATTCAGCTTTCATGGTGCATTCCCTCCGGGCATAGCCTTCGGGTGGGTCGGCATTTCCAAACAAGATTTTTCACCAGCGAAAAGGGCAAACGTATAAGATAGAAACTTTGTGGGCATGTAGTTCACTGAGGTTTGATTTCGGTAAAAATGGTACTTTTCGGTTAAAACGCCTGAGGGCACATATTTTGCAAAATTTTCCTGAATTTTCTGTTCCAGCGAAACGGAGTGTGCTAGAAAGTTTCAACTTGGCAAAGACGTACCTGATGAATAGCTGGGTAAAGAAACAATTCTACTTTCATATTATATATAGATGATTGTGAGTAGCTGACTGATTGACATAAGTAGCTATTCACATGCTGAGTTCAGGAAATATTCCATCTTGGTGATGCACGCCATAGGGGCACACCTTTTCAGGGAACATACTTTCAAGTAGTTCTCTTTGCTTCAATTAAACGGAGACCCATGGAAAACTGTAACATGGCAAGTACGTGACTCTTGAAACACTCAGCTCAAATGTCAAATGTCGAATTTCCGAATTATTTTTTGGGGGCATATTTCTTGGGGACGTAACGTTCCCAACGAATTTTTCATATCCTAGCGAATCGGGCACAAATAGACAAATAGCAGCAGGCGCAAGCATAACGGACGTGATGTTGATTTCAGGAAAAATTCAACTTTTGCTAAGCGTCTCCCCAGACCACAGCTTTTGGGTGAGTTGCTTTTCCAAAGATATTTTTTTACCGCAAGCAAAATGGGGAAACGTATAAGACGGAAACTGGGTGGCATGGAGATCCCTGAGTTTATATTTCAGAATAAAAATAAATTTCCAAAATATTTTTGAGGGTTCATATTTCTTGGTTCATATTACGTTTCCAAAGTATTTTTCATACCCTACCGAATCGGCAGAAATAGAAAGTAGCTGGCGCACGCATAACAGCCGTGATGTTGATTTAAGGAAAAAGTCAACTATTGTTGTGCCTCTCCTCAGAGCGCAGCTTTTGGGTGGGTCGTTTTTCCAAAAACATTTTTTTCTGCCAACAAAAAGGGGAAACGTAGGATTCTGAAATTTAGTGGCATGGAGTTCCCTGAGTCTACATTTTAAAAGAAAAAAAATCTTCATTAAAACCCATAAGGGCATTTTTTCAGTCTCATTTTCCTGAATTTGTTTTTGATCCAACGAAACATAAACAGAAAATTTAAGCATCCCTCAGAAGTGCCTGTTTGATGGCTGAGAACAGGAAAAATCCTACTTTTGAGAAATGTTCCCTTAGCGTAGATTATGGGAGGGAAGTATTTCAAAATGTATTCACTACCTTTACAAGAAGGGACACAAGAAAAGATTTCAAGTTAGGCACAATACAAATCATAAAGGTAAAGATTTTGATAAAAATCAAGGCTTTTGTCCCTATATATCACGCATTTCAAGGGAGACGTACTTTAAATACGTGTTTGCCATTTCCCAAGGAATAAATGAATTAATGACTCTCCAAGGTAATTGAGCGCCGAAGGCGCAACCATAGCGTTGTTGTTTGCCCGAAGGGCAAACTCGCTAGTTATGCAATATTCTTGAATGGGTAGGTTGAAACGTTTCGTGACGGGTGGGCTTCCCATTGAAACAAGGAATCTATTTCTGTCCCGAAATTAAATTTGCAAAAAACACCAGTAATAATTCCAATAAGTGAGTGAGGAACCTGGTGCTCAAATTCGAATTAGAAATATTTTTGTAAATGTTCAATGCCATGGTAAATTTTGCCTTGCCCTGTATCACATTGGGTCTGGTGCGATACCATCTGAATGTTAAATATATTTCGAGACATCCCATTTATCTTAGGCATGAAAGGTAAAAGGAGACTAAAAATTTACAAGGACGTCTAAATATAGGTATTTCAGCATACAATATCCAAGCACAAGGATATTTTGATTTTCCAGGAACCGCTGATGAGTCACCTCGACCCTTACACCAAAACAGTTTTAGGTTTCACCTAAAGAAAAAATAAAGAGCCATGTATTTCAACTTGGAGATCAAATAATGTTGTATGCATTCGGCAAACATTAGTAGGCCTATCCATACCACGCTCAATGTCCACCTATTTTCAACACATCCAGCTAGGAAAATGGGCAATATGGTCGGATTGCGGAAGAGTGAAGCCGTAAATTAACCATTAGAATTTGACTCAATGTCCAGTTCAAATTATGTGTCACTCAAATGTACTAGTACAATAGAAGTGTCAATTAACGCGGAATATAAAGCCATGGTAAGGAGGGGAAGCGTGAAAAAAGACTCCAGGTAAGATACCTCTCTAGCTCAATCTGACATATTCTTCGAACAATTAGGAGAGATAATAGGTAATGACATGAATTTAAAAAATTTACTCTCTCCAGTCTCCATAAGAGGACGCCAAACGAGTCACTAACGCCGTGACAGAGAAAAATATGTTGTTCAAGGCATTGTGGTACCACTTACCAAACTTTAAATCCCTTGCCTTCTCTGCTTTTTTGTGCTTTAACTCCTTCAGAGTCTTCTGCAGGAAAGGGTTTATTCATGGCCCGCAAAATTCGCAAGGATTATGTAAAAACATATTGTAGGGAAAACTAAAGAATGCGAAGAAAAAGAAGCCGACACTCCTTCGGAATTTTCATAAGCACTATTAGAATTCCTTTGCTCAAGCACAACGAAAGAATGGGCACAAGCGTAAAGTCCATATTTCCGAAACCATGAGAAATAAGACGCAAAGGAAGGTATCGCGTTATCCAGCTTGAGAATTTAATTTAATAGGCTCTAATGCAAAATTTGTAAGAATTTTCATGCATCTATTCCTTATAAGTCAGTCAGTGCCCTAGTCCAGAATATTGGGCAACAATATATGTTTATATGATGAAGCCAAACGCCGGGAAAGGTTTAGCTCATTATCTAAAGGTTTATCTCGCCCGCCATTTTCCGGAGAAACTGGCGACGAAATGAAACTCTAGATAATCTCTCTGTGACGAAGAGAAAGAGGGTGGGAATTTGCAACAAAGAATTTTCCCCGAATCATACCGCTATAATTGGAATGCACTTTAAGACGGTCCTGTTTCGGGGAAGTAGGTTGATAATTAACACAATTAAGATACGAATAGCATACCGGACTGTCGTGCACGTTCAAGCCCACGAGGTACAATTCACTAGTTATGGAATCATTCCGACGTACCAGGTCCGAAAGGTCCGAAATTCGTCTTCATTTTCCTCCCGCAGTTTTAACGCAGGAGCAAAAACGCGGTGAGAACTTTATTTTTGCGATAAGGAATGTGTCGACGGATTAGTAGTTGGTATGCGTGGTATGCACGAATCTCGGACCAGAGCTTCCGTTTCCTTAAAAAAAATTCTGCTCTGTGCAAAAGGGTATGATGAATAGAAATTGTAAAAATTACCAGGTAAAAGATAAAAGGGACGTATGTCTGTCGTTAAGATTCACACGTTGCAAAAAAAAATTAATGCAAAGAGGTGGAAAAGGAGCGGAGGTGGAAAAGGAGCGCAGTTTCCTTCAGTTCCGGACGGAACTGAAGGAAACTGCGCTGATGTGGAAGAAGTCCTTGTTCCTCAAGATGATATTCCTGGTATGAAAAGTTCCGTCTTCATATTGTAAGACGTAAGGACGAGTTAGAGATCTTCTTAGATTTGTAAATGCAAAGGAAAAAATATATGAAAAGTATAGTTATTCTTAGTGAATGGGGCAGGTCCTCTCATCAGCGTCCAGATGCGAGCACAAAAAAGAAATTCATATTCCAAATCCATTTTTTTTTGTAGAAAATCACATGTGTACAAAAATAACTTGGTTTAAGCGAAAAGCCGGAAGCTCAAAGGATGCATAGAGTTGGGCATGAAAGAAACGTTGTTTTAGCTGCTGTTTCAAAGGCACCAACAATTTTGTGTGCCTCACCCGGTATGTCTCGTACCCACAAACACATCCAGACTACGGTTCATCGAAGAGAATCAATATCGCCATCACCGTCGGTTTTAAAAAGGAGTTACACGAAAATGAGCCAATTACAAAAAATTACTACTTCATTAACCCATTTAGTCACTCATCATGAATTGTTGAGGAGTATGTGTAGAGAGGCCAAAACGAGATGAGAGCATTGATTCGCAATGAAATACGCATTCGGCATATCTATGCGAATGAATGAGTTTGACACCTACACTCATCCTGCACGACTCTTCTGGCATAACCATTAGGCAAAGTTTACACAAATGTGAATTTTCCCTTTTCTTGCAAACTATTTGCTTCATAATGAAAGCAGATAAATGAGCTGTTTTTATTTTGAAAGAGAAAATATGTAACGTACTTGGCAAGAAATGTCCACCCATCCGACTGGGGGATATTTGGGATATACTTTGTAGATGGGTGTTCGTTATGGTTCGTTCGTCTCCCCTCCGCGATTGAAAAAGAGTAGCATTCTCCAAAACGCTCGCAAGAATCGCGTGACAGGAATTCAGATTCACAAGGAAAATGATGGAGGAATAATTTTAAAAAAACCCTCGATGGAAGTCCTTACAATTATTTTCAATAGAATCCTCTCGACAAGTCAGCGCAATAAATTACCAGAAGATTTCCTATCTCCTGAATGAAACCTATACCTGAGGAGGTGACACAAATAGCGAGCAAATAGGATGAGGGTGAAGCCTTTTGAATATTATGAAATGCAAAATACAATATTTTTGCTCCATTGGTTTAATACGATCTAATTACTCGAAACAACATGACTTCAAACCTGAAGATTTTCAACATCCAGCGGTAGCAGCTCCTTCCATAGGTTCCTTCCATTTTCTGCGTCGTTCCGGAGTTTTCAGGCCCCGTGTCCACCTTCGATATGCGTTTCCCTCTGAAGGAGTTTTTCTTATCTACGAGGCATCCAGACAATCATTAACTATGGTGACATTCAGAAGAACATAAAATATGATATTAAACCTTTACTTGAGTTTCGTGGCTTCTTTGAATGTATACCATTTTTCTTCGCTTCTTTATTGCTTTGAGCATTGTGCCCATCACAAGACCCTTGCTCCTTCTGTATTGTCCTTTCCGTACCGGAGGATGCCACCTCCTTATCAGCACTCAATTCTGATTCAGGCGATGATGAAGTAGAGTGAAGCAAGCACACTAAATCTGAAAAGGACTGTGGACATTCAGAACTCACCTCGACCGTTGTCAGGTCTTCTCTCTTTCTTGGCCTTTACATTTTCTTGATTATTCACAGAAGGTTCTCTTTTACTTGGAGGTCCGTTGTTGACCTCATTTCTTATTCTTGTCGAGTTAATTTCCTTTTGGTGATCCGGTATCTTGTTTTGACCTGAGGGGCGATTACGGGATTGAGAAAAATATTAACTTTTAACTGAAAGATAGATTGTTGGATCCAGCTATCTCACCTGAATTATTATCGGGTTTTCCTGTTTTAACGGCCTGATTACATGGTCTTTCTTTCTCTCCACCACCTGGTGGACCTGGTGGTGGTTGTATGGAGACTGGCTTATTCCTCTGAATGTCCTCGATAAATTTACAAATGCCGTCAGTTGTCATATTCCACAGCAATTGGTCAATGGATCCAGCTTTCGCTCCTTCTTCAGGGTAATTATTGCTCTCGTCGCTGGAAGACTCGTCCATCTCCTCTACTTTATCTTTGGCAAAGTAGGAGGAACTGTTCACGGGGAAATGGATCTTGCATCTGAATCCGGCCTCTTTCACTGATTCAAGGACAGGGAGACGTTTGCTGTCCGCGAATGTACAAAACAAATACGAGATCTCGTCAGTTTCCTCTCCCAAGATTTGTGCCATGGTTCTCAACACCATTTTTTGTTCAGCTGTCAATCTTCCCTGTACACATGCACAAGATGAATGCATTGGCATGAAACAATATCGTTCTCATTTATGGCCAAGTATGCCTCTATTTGAGAGCGCGAAATATCCATAATGGAAAACACTTGTGAGTCGCATGTAACTGGTGCGTGAATTTAAAAATGAACGTATACATTGAGTTTGAAAGGAGAAAGCCAGCGACGGCGATCATTTCTGGAGGAGTTTAAAGTAATTCAGACTAGAATGCATTTCGTAATTGAGAGGAATTATGAAGCAACCTGAGAGCCGGGGACGACATAAATGATGGCGTGGATGCCCTGCTCGTGCTTGGAGCAGATGTAAGCGCGGATGTCTTCCACTAACTTCTGGTCCATCTCTGGCTTCCCCCTTTGGAAACCCGGCGTGTCGATGAAGGTGACTGGACGAGGGAACCTGCTCTTATCCCTGGTGAAAAAGGTGTGGGATATGATTTTTTCTGTGGGTCCGTCCTCTTTCACCTGGAATCGATAGCGATCCAGGAAATCCACTCCCAGCCCGTAATTCCCCAGCACCTCCATCAGCATCGACTTCCCTGTACCAGAGGGAATGAAAAGGACCTTCAAGAAAAGCTTGACCTTTCAATCGTTATATTTGAGAGCATAGACGCTGACCTGATCCAATTAAACCGAGTAGTAGGACAGTCAGACACAGTTCGCCTTCATCTTCACCCAATCTGTATTGATCTTTTGCTGTGATCGACCGGAATGGAAGACGATAAATTGGGAAGTCCTGTTCTCCCCTCGTCTGACTGCTTTGCCTTTTCAACTCCTCGTGCAATTCTTTTCTCCCCATCAATGGGTCCCTGAAGTTGAGGATTTCATCATTCCTTATCTATCTCATGCATACAAGGGGCGATGCCAGTCGTGAGTTCCTGCTGCGATAAATGATATATTCGTCCTGCTACCAACATCAAGCATGTAGATTCCGAGAAATGGTAACACGGGTTTCCTGAGATTGTACTGCACAGCCATCGTAAATACGTTATTAAATTATGTTCTCATGTCTCCTTTCGTTGCAATGGGAGGGAAACAGTGGCTTCTGTAACTGGTATTGAACGTAACCGTTTAAACGACGTTGTCATTGAAATATATATCTCGTCCAGTCTGCACTGAGCTATATATTATTATGAAGGATTTTAAATATTTTTCGTCCTCATTTCCCATGCTGCAGCCATTTAGCCATTTAGCTCAATATCTCTCAGCCTTGTCACCCTCTTCTTGTCTATACAAACATGAGGTTCATATAATCCTCATGCTTATCGGATTTACTCGGTTGCTATTTCCCTTCCCAGTTTCCTTCATGCATCTGAACTCGCACTAATGAACATTCCCAGCAAACAAATGAAAATTTCAACAGCGTTGTATGAAAGTTAATTTTGAACCTTCCCAGCGTTGTGGTGGCGTTGCATCTAAAATTACGTTTATATTCCTACGTCGCAATACCCAGTTCAGGTTCTACAGTGGCTGAACGGCTAAATGGGTCAAATCCGATGGCAAAGGAATGTTGTGCAAAATGTACTAACTTTAGTACATTCCAGGAGAGAATCCACCCATTCATGGTCAACTGATTTATCAGTAATATATCAATAATATCCTTATTTCCTTCAAAGGGAACAAGAGGATCATTCTGCCTCGAAAATGAGGATATGATGAAAATGATTCTGTGAGCAGAGTAAATGTACAGTGATGCCTTTCGAATTAAGTAATTCGTATCATGCAAGGGGTTCTCATAGGGCATATGAGCTTGTTTATCACTTGCGCTCCATGATTCTGTCTCGAATATGGGGATATTACATGATAAAGTGCTAGATTTTATTGACTGCTGTAATGAGACTAGGAAAGACACATGGCGAAATACTAAACACTTCTGTGAGGAATGATTCCATGGAAAGAGAAAAGTGCAGTTGTGTGCATAGTGCGAAAAGCGAGGCCCATACCTCCATCCTTGAGGAGAATTTCAACATTTCCACACAAAAAAACTTGTACGTGCAACTTGAACACTGAACCATCGCTTCAGTACGATATTGAATTCAATGATGGAATGACAACATTGGAAAGCCAAGCTTCAGCCAATATTTAGCTGATATTGGCAATAAAGGCAAGATGGCAACGTGCCCAATGTTGGTACAGGATTATGCCAATATCTGGTGCAACTGAGGTGGTGCATGTCGAAGTTCAAGATTGGTTGGACATTCCTCAGCAAGCACAAGTACGTTCCATATCAGAGCTTCTTTTGAACAGTTATTCAACAGTTCGTAGCGCTTCGCAGTTTTCATCTTACGAAACGTTCCTAGAACCCCTGAAAATGAAGCTGCTGAACGTCAAAGCATAAGCATTACCTCAACGTTAGTTAGTAACATAGTAACACTGAGAAGGTTCTTGATCGTTTCTTGAAAATAGGTATCCCCTATTGGACTGGCATGCTGCATGATGTTGCCAGAGATATTATTCACAAGAGCAATTTAAGAAAGTATCGTAGTATCATGAGATAGTCATGCAACGCTTGACTTAAACCTTCGAACGTTGATGACATTATCTTCACTCCAGCTGAACGTTCCCAGAACGCCACTGTTTGCTGGGTTCCGCTTACAGATAACAGAGATTGAAAACCTTTATTTCATGAGGATTTTTTTTAAGCATCGAGATAAACAACCATCCAATTAAATTACTCCTAACCAACACTTCGTACCAGAGAGAGTTCGATACATTGAAAACCTCAAACATGTTGAAACCAGTACGAGATGATCATTGAAGTGAATAAAAAAAAAAGAAAATTGATTTGACCTTCGAGGGTGCTATGAGTTGCTCCTTGTTCTGTAGTCAGTCACATCAGTAAATGCAAGATCCCTGTAAATATTCTACCATCAAAAAGAAACGCTACAAGGTAATTTAGGTCTCGCCCACGTTGCAGAATTTGTGATATCATTGTGCGTGAAATTATGTATATTCGTCAGCCTTTGAGTGCGTGAACGTACCTCGTCAGGAATATGCTAATTTAGGTTTTCTCCTTGCCATATGAAAAGCATAGGTTGCCATAGGCAAAAAATGGGTTGATTCCACTGTGCATGTCATACCATCTCGGAAAAAACATCAATGATATGCCAAGGCTGACGCAGCAAGGAGAAAGGGTGATTAAAGTGTTCGAAGACGATGTAACGCAACATGTAACCTTGTTGAACCCTTTCAGAACAAACTGGCCGAAAACTTGGCCTCGAGGGATGTATTAATCCTCAAGGTCAATTGTTCTGCCAATTTTCATGAAGCGCTGAAACAATGAGCTTTGGGCCACGCGAGCACATCCGAATCGCGGCGCGACTTCCAGTTGCGTTACACCCTCTATTGTGGTATTATAAAAATCAGATTTCAGCACTGATTGTTCCATGTATCATTGCTGTGATATGAATCAGTCATTCAAACGTACTTATTACGACATTAAGAGGCTTAATTTAGAACGTCTAATTTTTTTATGAGACGAGCAAGCTGTGTACAGACCTCATCTTCTACTCTGTCTCACCTCTGCTCGTCTTTGTTATGGGAAAGTGTGCTTATACTCACTTGCTTATTAGCTCATTGTTCGTTTAAACCCTACGAGTTAAGCCCTACTACTTGTGACTATACAGTCGACAGTGTTCGAAGACTCACGTCCAGGAGTTTATGCTTGCAGTATCAGTATGGGCTTCATCGGAAATGGGGACAATCCTTGATTCAGCCTTCCTCTTATCGGAAATAGGGACAATCCTTGATTCAGCCTTCCTCTTAGTGCGCCGCTCCTTCCATTCTGTCAGGAAATTTTCGTAATGGTATGCATGTCTGTACGGTAATACGTAAAAAAAAATTCACTCTGTAACGACGCCAATAACTTCTTCCATCTCTATTTATGGTTGAAAAGGCTAAATATATCCTTCAAAATACTAGCTATGCGCCTGAAATAGAACGAATTCCACCAAAACGTCCACCAAAACGTGAATAACCAGATGGACAGGAGATGGTTTTGAACTGGACTGATGTCCCAGCCGGTGGAATTCACCTGGCGCATGTGTGTCTCGAGCGAGAGTGGATGTTCCCGCGGGAGGACTATTAACCAGGCGGACTTCACTCCAACTGGTGAACTGGTGGAAATGCGTCTTAGGGGACATCCATCCGATCCCAAACCCACCTGGAAGGTGGACGTTTTGTAATGAAATTTCTCTTACTCTTCCCTCACCGCATTATAATGCTCCGATCTTGTTAGCGGATGGCAGTGTCCTAGTGCGCTCTTCACAAGCCAACATATCACCTTCCCAATTGAAGACCTTCACGAGTAAAAACAGGGTCTGTCACGCTGGTGAATATCTGAAGCCTCCCAACTTGGGATGCCCGACCCCTGCGCTTCCACCAGTGACCCACTCAGTCATTTATATCGGTGACATATCGGTGAGTTCAACAGCCACCATACAGACTGGGGCTACGCCATAAACGACGCAGCGGGCGAAAGCACTCAGAATAATCACTTGAAGATGTCCACCTGCTTTTTGACTCAAATCAACCGGGCACATTCCGATCTGCGAGATCGGTTGTGGTCTGCCGACCACAACCCAGACCTTTGCTTCTCGTCGAAAGACAGGCGAGGAACTCCACTGGCGACCTCAAGAACTATCCTGTCGCATTTCTCAAGAAGCCAGCACTGCCCAGTGATTGTGCAAATCGGCCTCGAGGTTCCGTTCATGGAATCGGTGCCAAAGCCGAGTTGGAGTTTCCGCAAAGCGGACTGGACCTCTTTCAGGGCGGAAATCGAAGACCGGATCCAGCGTGTGAAACCAATCCCAGAGAATTTCGAGCTCTTCACTCGAATCTTTATCTCATCTTCATCTCTGCAGCTGCGAAAAACATTATACAAGGCTTACGCAAAGCATACACTCCTTGCTGCTCCGCCGAGACAGAACAGCGCTTGAGGGAGTATAACCTGACCTGCGACTCAGACAAGGCGACAGCGCTCATTGAGTCACTGAACTCTGAGCGACTCAAGAGATGCAGTGAAACAGTGGAGTCTCTTGACTTCACTCCACTCCACTTCACTCCAACCGTAAGGCATGGACCCTCATCCGCAACCCGAATCCACTGACCCAACTCAAAAACCGACGGTCCAAAGTGACGGCAAATGTTGCTGCTGAACTTCTCCACAGCACAAAGATGCCCGCCGACAATAAGCAAAAAAGGATGCAAAAAAGGCCGGTCGCTCTCAACCTCCTCGAATACTCAGCATCCTCACCGCTTTCTTCCCCCTACACACCGGAAGAAATTGACAAGGCCTTGGCGGCCACTAAAAGCAAGAAAGCTCCTGAGACGGATGGCATTATCCCCGAATTTCTCCAGAACCTGGGACAGACAGGCCGACGATAGATAGGAAGGTTATTTACTGCCATCCGCACTTCAGGAAAAATTCCAAGAAGCTGGCGAGAGGCCAAGGTCATCGCCTCACTAAAGCCCAGAAAACCACCTGACAAACCCGCCAACTACCACCCGATATCGCTTCTCTCTACCACGAGCAAGCTGATGAATGGTCTTCTTCTAGCCCACCTCACATCGGCCATCGAGGCAACTCTGCCGAAAGAAGAGGCTGGTTTCCACCCCAAATAAGTTGCTGCAACCATGCACTAGCTCTCACAAGCCACATCGAAGCTGGTTTCCAGCGGAAACAAAAAACCGGCATTGCCCTGATCGATCCCTCATCTGCGTACGACACCGTATGGAAGGATGGTCTTCTCCTTAAAGCATCTACTGTGCAATCATCAAATGCCGCGCTACGATTCGCCTCATAGCAGTCATGTTAAGCGACCGGAGATACTGCGTTCATCTAAATGAACAAGTTAGCTAGACCCAGACTCAATAACAGAATGTCACAAAGTCCCGTCCTTGCTCCGTCGCTCTTTAACCTCTACACGAGCGATCTACTGCAAACAACCTCCAGAAAGTTCATCTACACATCTACAGATATTGCGCTCGCATCGCTGGGTGCAACACTCTCCGTCATCGGCGACACCCTCACCATTGACCTGGACACTTTAGCGAAGTATTTCCGAAGATGGAAACTCCGCCCAAACCCGACTAAATCATCGGTCATCGCATTCCACTTCGACAACCGCGCCGCTAAAGAGACTCTTCCTGTCTCCTTCTGCGGCCATCAAATAAATAATGAGGCCAAGCCAAAATATCTAGGCTTTACCCTGGACCACAGTCTCACCTTCAGACCCCACCTCGAAAGGACGCGCTATGAAGTGAAGGCAGGTTAGCATCGTGCGCAAACTGGCCGAAACCTCGTGGGGTGCCAGGGCGCACACTACGAACAGCGTCACTAGCACTGGTTTACTCGCCTGCAGAATAGTGTGCTCCAGTTTTGTCAAGCAATGCACACACCAAGGGCTTAGACACCCATCTCAACGCATCGATGCGCCTCATTACGGGGACTCTAAAATCCACCACTTTCGAATGGCTACCAACGATCTCCCATATTCCACTTCCCAGCATTCGCAGAGACGCGCAGATATCACGCATCTTTAGCCGAATAAAATCCAAACCTGATCTTCCAATTCATGTAGACCTAGAAAATGCGCCAAGGAGCCGGCTAAAATCCTGGAACTGGAAATCCTGGGTAGAGTTATTGCTCTCGACGCGTCCTCCTTTGACCTGGAGGAACAGTGTAAAGTCATGTGGGTCAAAGCCATCGTCCCAACAAAAGGCTCGTTTCTGTCTCCATTAAAGAAGTTGCTGGCTAAGACAGTGAAACAGTGGACCATGCTCAACCGCATCCGCACCTCGCACGTCCGGTGGAAAATCAAGACCACCTCCAGATGTGACTGTGGTTTCGAAGACCAAACCATCCAGTACATCATTCATTAGTGTCCACTCCGTTCGTTTGCAGGAGCCATGGACGATGACGACTAAACAAAAAAAACTAATTTTGAGATATTGCATTTAACTTTTTTTCAACATGAAATATGTACCCAACAAGAAAAGGCTCACTGTCAATTTCTAGGCTAGATTTCGGGTTTCAAATATTCACTACATCATTATATACATTACTGGTGTTTTGCGTCATAACTGTTATTAACTGTAATTTTGCAACAAAACACATTGAAAATGTTGACTCGTGATGGTGTTAAACTGGGATTACTATAAGTCTAAGTCTAGGGGAGTCAAATCTCACGACTGGGGTCCCAATGAAGGGAGTTGATGTCATATTTGTTTCACTTTCTGAAACCTATGGAACATCGTGCTCGCAAAACTCTGGCTTTGATTTGAGTGAGTTCATTTCAGATTAAATTTGACGCAATGTTTAAACACTTGATATCATTTCGTGATGGCCTGCCTGGGATTGCGTTCTCTCGCTTCAAGCAGGCATCACTTTCATCGATCAGATCCTTTCTTTGGAATGATGTTGGTATTACCATTACCGTTTCTGACGATCATCTTGCCAAGCCTTTTGGCACACACCACTTTCTTTTTAAAACGTCAGACAGCAGATTTTTATTAGTTGACCCTGCTTTTAAGGTGCACATCTTTACCCAAGACTGATTCCATGTTTAAATTGTGTCTACGTGTATCTCACGAATTTTTCTGCCCTTGTCAAAGGAGAAGATAGAAGCACTGAGAATGAATCAAAACTACTTCTTCAGACCTGATATATTCTACTTTTATTTTGGCATCATTTGCATTTGGCGAAAAACTTTTAACGTGAATTCAAAAACCGTAATATTCTATCCATGGGCACCCATCGGTGCGTTAGATTTTCAAAGAAAAGTATACACATCGAGTCACTCACGTGAGTCATGACCCACCTTTTTCCAGTGTGGTAGCAAGACTCTCATGGCCTCTGTCGAGCAGGATGTTGATGAAATACCGGAAAGAGCAAACTTCATCGCGTAAACACTTCCGAAGTAACTGATGCGCCTCAATGTCTTTCTTGGGGATGACACTGGAACTGCTGTTCTTCAACACCTCCTTCAACACCTTTTTTATGTTAATGCGCTGCAATTCTCCTGAATGGCAATCCAGAATGTCGTCGATCGCCTCCATGAGCCGTATTTTCTATGGTGCCTTGTGGAAGTGAAGAGGGAAACACGATATTAGGTAAGGAATTCGTCCTGCTTCACTTTGATGGCGGGGGGGGGGGGAACAGTTTATCAGCTTGAGATAACGGAGAGCAGTCACTCTTATCTCTACGGACCATGCATTGCTCTGAAAACCTACAAGCATTTTAAACCTCCTGCAGAACGTTACAAACAATTTATATTACGTTTCTTATTAAGAATTATGTTTCCAAAAGTAATATGTAATCACTGAATACATAAAATGAATTGATGATACTCATCAACCGGATAAAATATGAACATAAGGAATAATGCTTTCTGCATACTCTGTTCTAAGGCCGGATCAATGAAAATAGGATTGTTTCCAAGAATGTATAGAAAAACATGGGAAGCAAGTTATTTGAGATTAGACTATGCATGTGGGATAATGTTGCCTGCTCACCCATGATTTGGATACGTTCCGATAGCAAGGGGGCAAAAGAAGTGTGGCAAGCGAAGTTTGACATGAGAATATCCGGTCACCTGCAGCTATCTCGGAGATAGGGGTGTGTTGATTCTGAGGGAGGTCGAATGGTGAAACTCTTTACACAGGATCACGTTGGAAAATCTTTTAACATTGTTTCAGACAAGCCCCATGTCAAGCATTTGATGGACAATCCCCTTGTGCGCCCTATGGGGTATTGGAAGGGAAAGTAAGATGCCGTTCTCTGGAGCATTTGGAAAAGGGTAATATATGCATTTGAGATACTAGCAGAGGTACCCTGCGTTGTACAGGTGAATATTGTATAGGTCCCATATATTCTCTACAGTAAATAAGGTACCCTGGGGCAGGGCTGGATTTAGAGACAGGCAACGGTCTGGGGGCAGGGAGTGTCTTCGGCTGTCGACCCTGCACAAGGGGGGCTGAACTTTGAAACGCTACCTAGCCTAAGACCATCCCCGGTCCGATTGAGGAAGCCGTGCCAAGTTTGGTCGGACTGGGATCAGAGGCATGGCCGTGCATAAAAGACAGATAGACACACAAATATTCAGAAATATACCTGTAGCGTAGTTTGTGGCTATACATTTCACTTCAAGTCAAACCAACAGGTTCATCCTTCAAATCGATTTCATCTCATCAATCCTTTAGCCACGGTCGCCCTTCGTGGCTGAAGGTATCCCCGCATCTGTGTCTTCATGAGAGCGTGCAGACCAGACGCCTCAGCTCAGGCATGACATTTCGATTGGGAGTTCAAGATCATGATCGATTTCGCCAGAAGTCACAAAGACAACAAAGAGTTCAAAACGAGTATATTTACGAACGCAATTCGCTTGGAATCAACGGGTCCATATACTGGAGGTGTGTCGTGATCAAGTCGGGATGCAAGGGAAGAACGAGTCAAGACAGCAAAGGAAACAGAGAAGGCGGCAAGAAGCATGATCATCCAGATCGTCCCACAGAAGGAGTCAAGCGCGTGCTCTACGAAATCATAGAGCGCACGGCCTCCCAAGTTGAATCCCCACAAGCGTTTCCGAACGTGGAAACGAGAGGATGCTTTTCTTCATTTCAACCAAGGATCTGGCGCAAGGTTTAAGGATCAAGCGAACTGGAAGAACGATATCAAAACCCAAAATGCCTAAATGTTGTCTTGGTATTCGTTGCGGTTGAAGACGTTGAAATATCATTCGAAGATCCGAATTTCTGAAGTTCTAAAGGTCAGTTCTAAAGGTTTCTGTCCTGTGAAGTATACTCAGACCTGGTTGCGTCATTAGAATTCTCATTCTAATATTGATAAATTATTTCAAGAGAAAAGCTCTGAAGTTCTAAATTGCATAAATCCCCCATCAACCTGAAATTTTACAGTAAGTTCGAATCATCGGAAAGAACTGGATGGAGCTCCCATTCGGCACAAGTTTCAAGCTCCTTTCTTGTTTGAAACAATACGGTGATTATAAAGCCTCTTCATACTTTAATAGAAACAAGTATTAGCGTTTTACATCAAAGTTTTGCCCAATGCAGCTTTTGACTAAAAGTGGAAATGTCTTAGAATACAAGATTTAAAAAAACCATCATGTTGACCCAGGAAGAGTGAATAAACGTAGTCAAACTTCGAATGCATAGAATGAAGTACGATGGGGTGCGATATTCCTTTCAACAGAACTTCCTTAAACCTGACAAACTCCGTCTACTTGTCAACAATTTCCATAGGACCGAAACCGTTAAAGACCAAAAACGTTTTGGAATCAAGTACAACCCAGGATTCACTTGACATGGTCAGAGAAACTATGAAATGGAGCCCAGAAAAATCCGCACAACGAGGATCGTCACAACTGGAAATACTTCCACCAACGGTTCGCACGATACTACAGTTTAGCCTCAAAAAGCGTTGTCACCAATTCCAAGTCGTAAATGTAGTAATTATGCCTCTTGCAACTTGGCTTTAGATGATTTTTAATTCCCTTTTGGCGCACTTCCCCTTGTTTTTCAGGATGGAAGGTGAATATAGGCGCAGTGCATGGAAAAATTCCTTTAGCCAAATTTTTGGAGCGTTGGAGATGATGTTCGGCCAACTTTCTGAAAGGAATCAACATTTTCGGCATCCTGTATACGCATTTCGATATTCCTCCTCTTGATTCGTTTGTGGAAGAGAAGAAATTGAATAGCGGCAATAAAAAAAATTCGAGCTGGAAATTGAGTTCACCAACATTCGATGGAAGAAGTCACCGATGGGAGCTTTTCAGTCGGATAATTACTACAATAATGAGACCGGCGAAATGACAGGAACTCGCTGCACATCTTCAGAAATGAGTAATAAGCCAACCGTTGTTAGCGATGTATTCCGATATCAAGGAGCTTTGAACCTTCTGTAATCCCCCTGGAAGAGGATCGTAATTCATTTTGGTACATTTCCCCCTTTGTTTCTCAATAGAAGGGGAATAACGCTACCAATTTGGATATCGGCGTTCAGTATGAATTTTCTGGACGCAGCGAATGATGCTCGGCAGGTTTCGCCCTTGGGAGAATAATCCCGTTGCATTATGTCGGAATTTCAGCATTTCATTTTTACATTTCGTTATTTGGAAAACACAAAACGGACGGTCGGCGGTTAAAATTCATCAAGGAAATTGAATTTCGACACAAATGACGATATTCGGCACTCGGACCCACTTTTCAGCCGGATGGAGCTACAAAAGTGAAGCACCACCGTTAACATATTTCGACTCGCAAACATGTGTTAGGAGTTGCTCTTGCATTAGGAATGGGTAATAACGGGTTTAAAGTCGTAGTGACATTTTTTTTTTATTAGGGAAAAGTTTTTTCGCTTTCACTGAAATGCGGGTGGAGCTTTTGCCTATCCCGCAGCACTTCTGACCGAATTCCCATTCCACTCGTACGAACGTCCAATTACAATTTCCCCAGAAATGTCTCAAATTTGCATTCGCGGTCCGCTCTACCGAGGAGCAATCTATGAGTATTCATTTGCATTCATTTCAATTTCATTTTTCCTCGTCGATAGCGAATTTTAGCCGGAAAGGGTCACGTGACAATGCATTCCAGATTCCGATTCGAAATCTTGATTCCATTCCCCGTGTTTCACATTAAGTTTCACGTAGGAGAGTAATGAAAGAATGTAGCTTTCGGAACGCCGAAAATGACATTTCCTTGCCGAAACCGCGTGTCTCCTAATACAGGAGGCTCCTCCTAAAGCTCCTCAGTGAGGAGCCTTGAGTCCCGCTTGAAACCGTGCGAAGTATTTATCTCAGATTCGAAAAGATTGGAGAAATCGAAAGGAAAGGGGAAATTGAGAAAGGGTATTGCGGCCACTGGGAAGGGAAACTCAACTCAGGAAAGAGAGCTGGTATTCATTGGTCTTGAGAAGGAATGATGCGACTCTAAAACAGTTGAAGGAGCAGGTGGAAACGGACAAGCTTGGCATCTTTCGGTCAGACATAGGGCTAAAAAAAATTTGTGGTAAAGAGTTAGTTTTGGATGTAGGCTATCCCAGCCTCAGATTAACAGTAAATGTAGATATAAAAGAAATACTCATATTTGGATAAAGGAAACTACACACTATTTCGAGAAAGCCTGACAGCTCCCATTTTATTTTGCTAGAGATGTTTATGACATCTGCATTTCCACAATCCTCAGGAATCTGAAATGCAACGAGGGTGCCACTGAACGTACTTGGTCAAATCCCCAAAGGGAGGAATTTTCCAAGTTCAATTGAGTCTCGGTAAGTGTGACATTCGCGTTTCAAGTACCAAGGTCCCCATTCTCAGATTCGTGGTAGATTGCATAATCGTTCGTTCCTTTATCATCGATTTGCGATATTACAAGTTGCGATTAAATCGAGGGATTTCGTTGCTGCTCCATGAAGCGTCTCTTACGTATTGGATTTCGCTATGCTGGAAACGGTGAAACATGCGGAGTTCGTGTTTGCTGATGAGGCAGGGCGCAACCTCCACATCAGGAGAAAATTCGGAAAGAATCCCATTGGCAAATAAATGAAAATAAATTATCCATATTAGAAAGGCGATGAGAGTTCCAATCCATCGATTTTTTTCGTCACCGTAGAAGAGTAGCAATGGAGACCAAACTCGAGAGGAGAGAACTCGACTTTGATCCTGGCCATGTCGACTCTGGCAGCACACCTACGTTGGGCCAACGTTCGGCCTATGTTGGAATTCCGCATTTGCGATGTGGGCCCAACGTTGGTCTCCCACGTTGGTCCCTCGCAGGTTTGTCCCGTGGCCCCACGTTGGGTCACCGTCAGATGCCGACGAGCCCCATGACATTCAGGGGATTAAGGAGGTTTCGACTGAGATTCTATATTGGCACATCATCGGTCGGCTCCGAGGGACCTTACCGGGGACCTTGCCACCGAGTCTCTCTCGGTCTGGCTGGAAGTACTGCTGGGAGTAGTACTTCCTTCGATTGTCGTCTTTTGAGGCCTTCACTTTCCATAACAGGATTTGAGCCCCATTGTCATTCCACCCATCACCCAT